CCAGAGTGTGGTGCCCAGCTCACCACAGGGAACTTTCTGGATGGCTTGATTATTCAGAGCATGTGATGCTTTGGCTCCAGCAGCCTGAGGCAGTCAGGGATTCTGCAGAGCTGGGAATGCGGTTCTCACCAGCAGAGGTGAGCGTGTGTGTGTGTGTGTGTGTGTGTGTGTTCAGACCTAGCAGGTCTGGCCTGGTCATTTTTAGAGCCAGCTTCCCAGCAGGATAAAATAGTCAGAATCACTTGGCCGCCTGGCCCTGATCCAGGCCTGAAATGTGACAGCATGGGGAGAAATGGAAAGGAGGGAGTGGCCTCTGACTATATCCCCCACTGGACTGAAGCACTCTGAGGGCAGGAAATGCAGTTGATTCTTTTTTGTGTCTCCTGAGCCTGACACCCTGGGATAGATGTCTTTCATCATCAGCAGCATTGCTCCCTTATATTGAGGGCTTACTATATGCTAGGCATTAGTTCATCTAATCCTGACAACAACCCCATGACGTAGGTTCTTTTTTTTTTTTTTAAGATTTTATTTTTAAGATTTTATTTACTTTTAAGATTTTATTTACTTATTTGAGAGAGAGAGAGAGGGCGAGCAGGGGGGAGAAGCAAAGGGGGTAGGTGAGGGAGGGGTAAGAATCTCAAGCAGACTCTGCCCTGAGTGCAGAGCCCAACGTGGGGCTCGATCTCATGACCCTGAGATCATGACCTGAGCCAAAACCAAGGGTTGGACACAAACGACTGAGACACCAGGCGCCCCCATAATGTAGGTTCTACTAGTATCCTCATTTTACAAGGAGCTGGGGCTCAGGGGGGTGGCGCAAGAGCCACACAGATTTTACCATTTGAGAGCAACATAGAATGTAGCATTTTGTCCTTTTGCCAATGCCTTTCCTTCTATCGATAATAATAAAAGTAAATAACCTACCCACTGAGGTCTGACTCCTTTACAGTCCCAGAGTCAAGTGCTTTATGTATATCATTTCATTTAATCTTCATATCAGGCCTATGAAGTAAGTATTACTATACTTCTGAGAAAAGAGAATAACTTGGCCAAGGTCACAGCTAGTAAGTTACAGAGCCAGGATTCAGCTTAAGAATGTATGGCTCCAAGATCTGATTCTGCTGAGCATCAGAGACCTCTTTCAATTTCTGGTTCCTCCACAGACCAACCGTGTGCCTTGGCAAGTCATTTAACTTCTCTGGGCCTCTTTCTCTGCATCTGTAAAATGGGTAGGTTGGGCTCAATGATATGTCAGGGTCAACCCCTCTCTAGCTCTGATATCTAGACTTTAAAGCCCTTGAGGGACATCACCTCTGTATTCCTAGCACTCAGAAAAGGGCTTGGCTGGGAGTGGGTACCAAGTTGACATATGTTGAGCCAAGTCTATCCTAATGGGGACCTGGCTCCTCTGTCCGCATGAACTTGCCATTTCTCTATATATCTTAGCCTCCCCTTACCTCTTGTGGTCCAAAGATGCCAGAAATTATCCATTTTGGTTGTTTTCCATTTTTCCTATTTTAAAAATGCTTCTATATGTCTCTTAATGGACTAAAGTTTCTCTTGAGTATAGATCTGGATGGGGAATTTTTGGATCATGGGGTATACACAAACAAATCACTCTCAAAAATTGTAGGAATTTACATTCCCACCAACTGTGAGAGCTACCTTTTCCCTGTATTCTTTCCAAACTTCGAGTTTGTCAGATTTAAAAAATTTTGTCAATTGGTTGAGTGTGAAATGTTATAAATGTATTTTAACTTTTCATTGCAGAATTTTTCAAGTATTTACAAAATAACAGAGGAATAGGGTAATGAATTTCTATCTACCTGTTACCCACCGTCCAACCCCTTTCTAATTTTGTTTCCTTTAGATTTCACCACCCAGGGGCGCCTGAGTGGCTCAGTCATTAAGTGTCTGCCTTCGGCTCAGGTCATGATCCATGGGTCCTGGGATCGAGCCCCACATCGGGCTCCCTGCTGATCTGTAGGCCTGCTTCTCCCTCTTCTACTCCCCCTGCTTGTGTTCCTGCTTTCGCTATCTCTCTCCGTCAAATAAATAAATAAAATCTTAAAAAAAAAATTTCACCACCCATTCTTTTTAACCAAATCCGAGTAATCATTCCATTTCATCTCTAAATGTTTCAGCAAATATCTCTAAAAGATGAGGACTCCTCCTTTAATTTTTTTATTTTTTAAATTTCTTTTTTAAAGATTTTATTTTATTTATTTGACAGAAAGAGACACAGTGAGAGAGGGAACACAAGCAGGGGGAGTGGGAGAGGGAGAAGCAGGCTTCCCACTCAGCAGGGAGTCCAAAGCGGGGCTCAATCCCAGGACCCCGGGATCATGACCCGAGCGGAAGGCAGATGCTTAATGACTGAGCTGCCCACACACCCTGGGACTCCCCCTTTTAACCATAACCACAGTGTATCATCAAACATTTCCAAATGTCAACAATAATTCCTCTATATTATCAAATATTCAGGTCAGTGTCCACATTTATCCAATCATCCCATATTTTTAAAAATAATTGCTTGAATTAAGAGTCAAAGTCCATACAATGTGATTGGCTAATATTTCTTAAGTTTCTTTTAATCTAGAGGTACCCCTCTCTCTCTCTATTTTTATTTATTTATTTATTTTTAATAATTTATTTATTTATTTGACAGAGAGAGACACCGCGAGAGAGGGAACACAAGCAGGGGGAGTGGGAGAGGGAGAAGCAGGCTTCCCACTCAGCAGGGAGTCCAAAGCGGGGCTCCATCCCAGGACCCTGGGATCATGACCTGAGCCAAAGGTAGACGCTTAACGACTGAGCCACCCAGGCGCCCCTCTCTCTCTATTTTTAATATCTTGACATTCATTTGTTAAAGAAATCAGGCTGATTTTCCTGTTAGGCTTTCCCCCAGTTCGGCTTTTGCGTGTTGTGTCCCCACGGTGTCATTTCATGTATTCCTCAGTCCCTTATTTCCTATAAACCGGTAGTGGGGCTAAGAGCAGGAGTTAGCAAACTATGGTCCATGGGCCAAATCTAGCAACTACCCTTTTTTGGAAACGGGATTTTGTTGGAACACAGCTCCGCCCATTTGTTTACTATTGTCCATAGCTGCATTTTGTGCTGCAACAGCAAAGTAGGTGCCACAGAGACCAGACACTGTAGCCTGTAAGGTTAAATTACCTGGCCCACTGAGACAAAGTTGACCCACACCTCCTCCAAAGGCTTGATCAGACCCCTGCTTGATTCTTGGGGCATGATTTCTTCAAAGGAGGTGGTGGTTAATTCCACCTAGAGGTGCATTACATTTACTCGTTTCTCTTTTTGTAGGATTATCAGATCAGCTAATTCATAAGGAGTTGCAAAATGGTGATATTCTAAATTAATCCTTCTTCATTCCTGTTTCAGTTAATTTGTGGGAATGCTTACAGAAAAAGCACCTTCCTCTCATCTACTCTTTGGTTGCCTGAGGCACAGTTCTTACAGAAAAGACAGAATAAATGCTTAATTGTCTCCCTTTATTTACCAGGTTTCAAAATGCAGTGAGTTGATTTCCTAATATCTTTCAGAGATGATCACTGAGGTTTCTTGTTTATTTTTAAAATATCATTATGAACTCATGGATTGAAATATATTCAATGTTTTCTACTCATTGCAGTTCTTTTCCTTACCAATGCTGAAATTGTCTGGACTTTGGCAAATGGGAGTCTCTTCCGGTTGTCTCCCGAGTCCCTTTGCCACAACTCTAGTTTCCTTGATTTGTGGCATTAAAAGTCTAGGTATGTGTTGTACATTTTCTGCCCCAAAGCTGGAATCAGCTATTTGTTTTTTGGAGGAGCCTGGGTTCCTTTACAGAAAATTGTATTTAGGGACCACAATCTGGGACTAAAGGTGCTCACTCAAGTGTTGGTTGTTGTTTCCAGACCTGACAACAAGAGGAAACCTGGTGCTTGTTTTCAGATCGGCTACATCAAAAATTCACACTGGGACTTCTGATTGAAATCCGGGATTGTAAAATTTTTACTTCAGCCCTTTTGTCTTTCATTTGCCTCTCCTTTCTCTCACACCAAAAGTCCTGGTTCTCAACACCACCAACAGGAAACTCACTTGCTTTACCCCACACTACCCATCCGACAGTTTCAGAATAACAATCCCAGTGTTCCCACCAACATGATGGCTGAAAACAGGCAGCCCTTTTTAAAAATCAGAGTAAAAAATTCTGAAAACAAAAATGGAAAGGAATTGAACAGGAAGGGTCTGTGCTGACCCCGTGTCACCATATGGCAGTTTGCATTGCTGCTGTGATTTTTAGTCCTATGTTGTTGGTCAGGATTTGATTCCTCAATGTAGGAAACTACTGAAATTATAGCCCTTGCCCTTTGGGAATTTACACATGTCTACAGAGTGGAAGAAACATGAGGTAAAAGCAGTGTAGGCTCGTGGAATGATTGCTTTATTGGTAACTCAAGTGTGCTGATGAACTCCAGACTTCAGTTTCCCTCCATAATGAATGAGCCTCCAAATACACCTGCCTCAGGGCCTTTGCACTTGCAGTTCCCAGTGTCTGGAACACTCTTGCTCCAGCTCTTTTAATGACTGGTACCTTGTTATTATTCAGTCTGGGCTTCTTGAACCTCAGCCCAGCAGGGTCTGGTGGGAAGATGCTTCTCCAGAAGGGCAGAAACCTTGGGTGCTGGTTCCAGCCCTGCTGTGTGACCTTGAGCGAGTCACTCCAGCTTTCTGAGCCTCAGGTGCTCCATCTGGGAGAATGAGGAGCTCTAATTTTCATGTCAGCTTTCTCCTTTTCTTATTTTCCCCTGTCATACCCCTTGTTTTGAAAGACTTTTGTCTGCCAAGCTGTACCTGTTACATAATATCATTATGACTACATAATCTAAAATAGCCCCTCCATTACTTTATCATATCAGCCTATTTTATTTCTTCATGGTACTTTAACCTATCTAACCTGTTTACTTGTTTATGTCTATCTTTCCTCTCTCTAGAATGCAAACTCAATAAGGTCCTTGACTTTCCTGTTCACTGATGTAGCCCTAGGACTTCAAACAGGTATGGCACATAATAATTGCTGAAGAATAATGCCTGCAGAATGAAGGTATGCCTCCCACGTGAATGGATGAGCTAGATAATCCCCCAAGTCCTTTTTAGCTCTACGTCTATGATACACTCAATAAATTGAGTGGAGACTCACATACAAGCATGACTGTACCATCTTACAGATGTGGAAACTGAGGCAGTGAGTGGCTTGCCAGAGGCCTCACCAAGAGGGAGGTGGTGTGGTCCAGGAGCAGTGTATGGAAAGTCAAAAGCAGGAGACTCAGGTTTGGGTCCTCACACCCTCCTACTCCATCAGCCTTCTTTCTAAGAGCTGCGTGAGCTGGACAAGCCATTTCATATCTCCAAGGACAGTTTCTCCATCGACAGAGAAGACATACAAATAACTCTGGTCTAGGGTTACTGTGAGATAGTGAAGCTTTGAGAACTGAATGGCACTAGGCACTTTGCAGAATGTTTGCCCTTTCTTTACCTCCAGCTGGTCCTGTGGTTGGGGCGGGGATGAGGAAGGAAGCCCAGGGAGGAAGGGCTGTCTGTGGAGGAAGGGAGAGCCAGCTGGTTGCCATGGTTTGTTTTCTCACCTGAGTCCCCAGCCCTCCCCTAGCCTTGCTTCTCTCACCTGCTCAGGTAAAGAGGTAGGGCGAGCCTTGCTCAGCCAATGAACTGCAGTCATTCTCTTAAAGGCACCCAGTCCCTAGCAGGAAAACCAGCCATACCACCTGGAGAGCTCCCCGGTGGGGGCCAGAGGCAGCTTGTAATGCAGCCCTCCGTGACCACCCCGGGACCCCAGGATCTGGTCATCTGATGTCCTGGAGGGTGCTTTCTTCAGAGAGGCCTCCTTCACCTTGCCCAGAGCTGGCTTTCCAGGAGGCTCCCATGCCTCGCTGCCCTGGCAGAGGGAGGAAAGACAGCGTGGCTTTGGCAACTGCCCACCAGGAAGGAGCCCACAGGTGTGAAGGAGAAGCCATTTCCCTGTCCTGACCCCCTGCAGCAACCCTGGTGAGTCCTGACAATCTGGGCTTCTTGAACCTCAGCCCAGCAGGGTCTGGTGGGAAGATGCTTCTCCAGAAGGGCAGAAACCTTGGGTGCTGGTTCCAGCCCTGCTGTGTGACCTTGAGCGAGTCACTCCAGCTTTCTGAGCCTCAGGTGCTCCATCTGGGAGAATGAGGAGCTCTAATTTTCATGTCAGCTTTCTCCTTTTCTTATTTTCCCCTGTCATACCCCTTGTTTTGAAAGACTTTTGTCTGCCAAGCTGTACCTGTTACATAATATCATTAATTGTTTTTCCCCTTCTTTGTTAATTGGGACCCTATACTAGCCAATCAGTGTTTCCTGGTCAGCAGGAACAAACCGCAGTGATACCATTGAGCTGATGTAAGTTAAACCAAAAGCAAAGAAATGTGGTGTTTTAGTCTGCCTGTGTGAGCTTATCTAGAGTCAATATTGGCTTTTCATTTGGCCTTTTGAAATATGAGAAATAGGGCAATTTTCAGAGAATGGGGATCCTAGGTGAGAGCCCCTAGATCTAGCTTGTGTGGTTTATAAGGGCACCAGGCAGAAATACTGCCTTGTTACACCCCAACCCGGCTTTGGTCTCTACAATATATGGGATGTGTTCTTGAAAGTGGGATCCTGTGGCCTGAAAATTTCCTATTTGGGGCCGGACTGCTCCTAGGGGACCCTACACTGGGTTCATACCCCTCTGCCTGAGGTTGGAAAACCCTGGATGGGAGAGCTGAGGTGTCCTTCAGTCCTCTGCTAGGGGTTGGCCAGTGGGGTGATGTAAACAGATAGGTGTGAGCACAGTATCTGGAGTCCAGGAGCTTATGGTGGACCCAACTTGTGCTGAGAATCAGGACACAGGGCTAATCTGCATTGACTGGCTTTGTAACCTCAGGCAAGTTGCCTAACCTCTTTGAACCTCAGTTTTCCCAGCTGTAAAGTGGGGATTGTAATCTTTGCAATGCTTGCCTACCAGGATTATTCTTAGGACCAAATAAAATTGTGTATATCCTGGAAGCTCAGAGCCCACAGATTTTAAAATGCTTCCCAAATTCAAAGATTGAAAACAAAAAACCCATAGACATGCATTTTAGAATTGACAAAATAGAGTAATGGATGTTTTATAAAATGTGACCTCCACGATAAAGAATTATTCCAATTATGATGGGATTGTTGTTGCTTGTTAAGTTCTTTTACTTTTTTACAATACCATTTATTGGGACTTTTTTGAAATACAGACTCATATAAACACAAAGCAGGGGAAAACAGCTCACTGAGTCATGGTATTGACTCCTGGAACTGAACCCCAGGCTGGGAATGTGGCCCTAATGCATGAGGCGGTGTAATATGTGGTTGGAACGTGCACTTTGGAGTCAATCTCGAGTTCAAATACAGACTTTAAGACCTACTGGTGACCTTGGGTGTAAGTCATTTTTCCTGCCTCAGTGTCTTCTAAATTCTAAATTGAGGTAGAAGTAGAGGAATATCAAAAGTGTTGGCTGGCTAAGTGGTAGTGGTGGTGGTGTTAAGTTGAGGTTCAGCTTAGGACAAGGACTCAGAACCCACAAAGTTGTTCCATTAGAGAGTCCGAAATCGGGAGGACTCCTGATCCTTAGAGTGGACTGGGTAAACTGATTCAGAGCAAAACATTTGAGTCTGTCTCCCCATCCATGAAATGGAGCCCCTCACAGCCCTGCCATCATCTGGGGGTGGCAGGAGACTCCTGGAGACATTGGATGAGCAGGTCTTTGGAACCAGTCCATTCCCCTGAGTCCAGGGGGCTGTTGTCACTTTTTGCTTCAGGGGCCCAGATAAGGTACCAAGGTCCTTCTATTCAGTCATCTGAGCTTCTTTGCCCTGTCCCTTTTCCCACAGCTCCCTGATGAGCAAATCAGTCTCAGGGAATGCTGGTTCAGGGTCTTGATGGTACCTCCCTTCCCAGTGAGGCTGCAGGAGAATGAGTGGAGTGAGAGCTAGAATAGAAGTTTCCCAGGAACGGGAAAGGCAGCCCCTCTTGCCCAGGCTCTGGGCAGATGGTGTGTGAGAGCATGTATGTGCATGCGTATTTGTGCACATGAGCTAACAAAATTCAAGTTGAAAAATTCTAATGCTGTGAAGGCCCCCAACAGGTCATGTTGGCCAACGCCCTGCACTGTGCAGTCCTCTCTTCTAAACAACACTAGAAGGTTGTGGCTGCACCCCAGGGAAGTCTCCTAAACATCTTTCCTTGGTAACCAAACTTGCCATCTCTAAATCCTCCCGAGGGTGTATGCAGGGTATGTGTGAGCATGTTTGAGGGCCTTGCGTATCTACGTTAGAGTTCCATGGACACTGAGCACCGAGACCATGCAGAAAAATAAGCTTGAGGTGGATGGACTGGGGTGCCTTGGGGATTGGGTATTCATCTGGTCACTGTGAAGCTTAGAGGCACTTTGGTGGAGGAGCTACATCTATTGAGCACCTACTATGATCGAATGATTGTGCTAATTGTTTAAAATTCATGATCTCACTTAATCCGTACAGCAGTCCATTTTAGTATTCCCATTTTACATATGAAAGCTGCAGGGCTCAGAGAGGCTACAGATCTTGAGTAAGATTGCTCAGCTGACAAATGGCTGAACCATGACTCGGGTCTTTGTACAGCTGAATCAAGAGGCTTAGCTCTCACCTGTTCCACCAGAAGTTGCAAATCAGGCCAAATACGAAAGTCCCCAGATCCAATTTGTTTGGTCTACACAGTGTTTTGTTTTAACCTCTTAAAATTTAGATGCCAACATTTGAAAATGGAGCTGTTTAATATAAAAAATCTCGATTCAAACTTCTCTTTAAAAATCAGGAGAATGGGGCCCTCTAGGTCCACACCTTCCCATGCCAACCATCAACTTAAATTGATAATCAACTGCTGCCTTGCAACAGAACACGTGACCTAGTTTGCCACAGTTCCCATCACTCCCTACTATCTACCCTGCACTCTCTCATTTATGTTGCTGGCCCAGCCCCACAGGTCTGCAGAGACCTGGGCCCTGGTCCTAGCGCTTGAACTCTGTGACCTTAAGTAAGTTATAACACTTGTCTGGGGTTTAGCTGTAACCTGGGATAGTGAACACTCTGAAATAACTTTCTAAGTGGCTTTCTGTGCCGTTTGGGAGAGAAACAACACGTCTCCGGCATCTCCACGTCCTGACCACGTGGCTGTGCGTGATGTATGGCCATGTAAGTGACACTAGGAGTGGTGGGTGTTATTCACTCTTTGTCACCATCATTCTGCTGCACTGTATATCTGATGCTTCTTGTGACAGGAGACATTTGGGGGCAGGTAGGGCCTGGCATGATGCCCATTCCCAACACTGCTCAGAGTTCGACTTCCATGTGCCTTGGCTCATCTCTTCTGGGAAGCCTGATTGAGATTTCAACATCCGAGTGTCCTGTTCTGACCCCATTTTTGCTCTAGAGTGTACAAGAGAAAATCTACAGCCCAGCTAAGAATGTTCTCTCTTTCCTGTTACACACGCACACACCTCTGAGTGAGAAATAGCCGCGCTTTAGAAGTCTGTACTTCTATCTAGTCTTACTCGAGTTCCTGGGATCAGATCTTTAGAGACACGGACGGACTAGTACAGATGGAAATGTGTAGATCATCTAGTCCAACAATAGCAGATACGTTCACTTCATTTGCTAATTACAGTCAACTGGTAGAGGGTTGAAAAGGCTTCTGAAGCTGCATATGAGCATGGAACCATCAATGCTGAGATCTATCAGCGATGTCTACTGTGGACTTGACAAAGGCTTGTAGCAGGACTTATGCCAGCAATTATACCAACACAAAAACTGGGGAACCGAGGTGACTTGCCCAAAGTCACTCAGCAAGGCAAGGAAGAGTCCGATCCGGAAGCAGGGTCTCTCTTCACCTTGAGGCCACTGTGGATTCCACTGTATTAGCTCAGAGAAGACAATTGAAACTGGGTGGGGAAATGAGAAACAGGGCTCGGACC